ATTATAAGTTGTGTAAATTTGTCAGTATTTTATTCGAAAACTACAGTCAATTAGCTTCATAACAATATAAAATTTTTTGTTGTTCGCTTAGTAAATAACGGCAATACAGACGTTTGAAATTTTAGATTGATGGAACTCAGTTTTACCAGGAAGACAAAAGGAATGGAAAAGTTGCTGAACATGCTAACTGCAAACCAACACAAGCTTGGATATTCCCCACCAGAAGATGCCAAAGCATTAGTTGACAGTATACCAGACTTTGATTATGAAACTGTCCTTCGACAAGAAGGTAATGGAAGAGGATCACTTGTCCTCCTTGGTGCAATAGGTTCATGAAAGGTTGTACTCAAGGCAGCACTTGATCTCAATAATGAACTCAACATGCTGCAGACACTCAAAGATTGTGAGCAAGTGCCCAAAGTCATTAGCACAGGAACTCTTTCAGATGGTAGAATGTATGTTTAGATTTTCATGTGAAAATAGTGTGAAGATTTTTCAAAGCAAAGTTAGTTGATCACTTATTATTATTATGCCAGGTTCATGTTGACAACACCAGTTGGTAAACATCTTGAAGCCAAAAAGCATGGATTGAAAGGAACACTCAAGGCTTTGTTGGATATTGCTAGAGCTCTTAAGTTTGCTCATTCTCACCACATCTTACATCATGATGTATCATATTAAATATTGTACACCACAGATGAGGTTATCTTATTGATTGGGTGTGGCATCTTTTGATTCTGCATCAGTATCCACTACTTTGACTGGGACTTATATCTTCTCTTCTATACTGGTATGTTTCATTAATATTCTTTTTTTTTACCAAATATACAACCTCACTCTTACTCTATTTCAAATTTAGCTTTTACAGAGTCTGTTGACTAACAGTCCATATACATATTCTGCCATTGATGACATTGAATCTCTGTTTTATGTCTTCATGTATGTTGCTTGTGATGGTGTTGTGCATTGGAAAAAGCATATGGACATCTCTACAACTTGTGCTCTTAAGACTAGCATAGTAACTTCCCAACAACTATTCAGACAACACCTTGTTGACTATGCCAATGATGAGTTTCGTGAACATCTTGAGAACTTTTGTAATATAATTTCCCCAGATAATATCAATCTTGAAAACAGAAATGTATCTATTGATACAATCATTCAGACTTTTCAATATTGTATAAACAAACTTCCATAGATACTTGTCTGCAGAAATTGATTTAAAGATTTGTGTTGAATGTTTGCTGATCTGCTAATTGTCATTGCAGGCTTTCATAACAATACCATTATGATAATAAAGAAAAATATTGTTTTTGGTGATATAAGACCAAACAATATACTGTATGATCATAATTCAGGAAGAATAATCTTAATTAATTTTGACTGGTTGGAAGGCATAATGTGATCAATATCCATTTTCATGAATCATTCTCACCATTACTTACAATGCTTTAAAGATTTACAAGGACAATACAGCAATACATAGGCAAACTCGATAAGTCAGACTCGTCGTGGCGGACTCCTGTGTCCGACTTAACGAGGTATCCGACTTAACGAGATATCCGACTTTATCATAATAATGAATAATAAACGTACTTTTTATTTGCATGTTATTATTATGAGCTAATACAAGCTGTTTTAAATGTAAATATAATAGGTAATTCAATTTTTATAAAAAGTTTCTAAGGTAGGCTGTTTTAGAGAAGCGATTCGCTTTCTTTAAATTTGACACACTGAAGGTCTTTCATTCTCGAGATTACCGATGCATTTGTTTTTTCTACGTTCATAATTGCTTGGAATGCGTTTTTGAAAGCAATTGACTATGTCAACCGATTAAGACAATTGTATCAATGTATTACAAATGATATATTACGATAAATAAATGATGACATAAGATAATAAAATATTGTTAGATGCTAAATAATGACGCAATTATTGGGTAATTATTTTGTTACGTTGCTAAAATAGTAAAGACTATCCGCAAAAAATCACGTGTTCCGACTTATCGAGTCATTTGTTATAATCTGGTCGACAGGATTGTCCGAGTTACGATTTTATATACAGTCCCCTTCTAATTGTTTTTGTAGTTTTTCTTTTTCTTCAAGATACTCGTTAACTTTTTCGTTCAATTCTGCCAACTCTTTCGGTTTATAAGTAGTAAAAAGTTGGGAGCTCCCCCGAAAAGTAATGGCGGGGTGTTTTTTTATTATAAAAAAATTTTTTTACATAATAATCTTTTTACAAATTTTTATGTTTATAGCGTATTTAGGTAGAGTATATACTGGTAGAATTTTAGTATTCAGTATGCCCTCCTTCTGCCTCAATGCAGGCTTGAATGCGATCTGACATACTGGTAATACATGTAAGAACCACCTCATCAGAGATATTTTGCCATTATTCTTCTACTAATGCAATAAAAACAGCTTGTGATACTTTTCTTTTTTTTGCCACTATTGCTTTGACTTTTTTCTCAATATTCCGCTTGAGAATTGCCCAAATATTCTCAATTGGGTTGAGATCTGGGCTATATGATGCAAGATAAAACTCGACCTGGCAACTTCAATTCAAGATCTGCACGAACATCTTTTGAAGTGTGTTTGGGATCATTGTCCTGTTGGAAAATCCAGCGTTAATTTCCATACACATTAGCTGTGCAATGGGTTTTTTTGATTTTGACCAAGCTAAGCAAGTATTCCGGAACATCTACAAAGTTGTTTCATCAGAGAATACCACTTTGCGCCAGTTATATTGAGAGTGATTCTGTGCCCATTCTAACCGGTTTTGCTTGGCTTGTTCAGTAAGAAGTGGAACACGTCTTGGCAAAGCAGCAGTATAACCAAGTCTGAAAAGTTCGTCACGAATAGTCTGTTCACTCACTTCAAAATCTGGGTGTGTTTCTTCAAGCCGAGCCTTAATTTCAGCTGCTGTAACAAAATGATTCGAATTTACAATTCTACCGATCTGGCGACGCATCTGAGGAGAAATTTTACGTGGGCGACCAGAACGGTGAATATTTGAAATTTTGCCATTTTTACGAAGCTGGGCTACATATCGTTCACAGGAGCGGAGAGGAAGGTTGGTTTTTCTGTTGGGCTTCGGTAGCCTTGCTTCCATAAATTCTTCTTTCATTTACAAAAGTAATACGCTTTATTGATCAATTTTTTTGACCGCAATGCCTAGTATCAGGGTCTGGAAGATTGATCACGTAACGCTTTATTGACATTGCTGTTCTTCATTATAATTACTTTTCCAACGTTTTTAATATTAAATATAGGTTTACCAGACGTTAGCATAATTGATGGTACTTATACTGGCGAGTGATTAGTCAAAAATCTCTTCTGATTGTTGAGTTAATATTTACAACGTTGAATAAGGAATATGTTATTTCATATCGATCTAATGTTATGTAATGTTGTGTAAAAACGAGTCAACCCAATTTCAAATTTTGCGTGCGATTTGACTCACTTGACAATTTTGCTGATCATAAAAATCTACGGTTAAAATCGCTAAATTTTAAAAGTATTGTGTATGATGTAGTAATCTACATTAAGTCATACGCGCATTATTATACGATTCAAAAATTTCCAAACCAAATTGTTGTTATTTCGAGAAAATGGTCAATTGTTAGTTATTCAGTGCAGAGAGATAGTCGGAGTTTATAAGCGTGGCATAAATCCACAATGCAACAGTCTGAAGCATAATAAATAAGTTCAATAATAATGAAGTTGTTATTGAAATATACCAAGAAGTAGACGGCCCAATATACTTTCGGAGAGGAATGTTAGTTCTCTGATACGTATGACCAGGAAAAACAGGAGAGGAACAGTTGCATCAAACTAAACAATGCTCTGTCAAAACCAGTATCTGAAAGAACTGTACGTAGAAATCTGTATAAAAATGGTTATCGTGCTCGCGCAGGCAAGCGAAAGCCTCTGGTTACAGAGCACAACAGAAAGAAACGCCTATTTTTTGCAAGATCAGCAAAAGCCTGGTCATATGGATGGGGAACGAAATGATCTTTAGTGATGAATCGCGGTTTGTTTTTATGTCTATCATGGGGGAAGTCTATCAAAACATTCTTGAAGAACATTTACTTCCTTTATTGAGAGTTTTGACGTCTTGAAAACGTGGGGGTTTCAATATGAAAATGCTAGACACATCAGTAGAAAGATATATTATCTTTCCTTGGCCTCCCCAAAGTTATGACCCCAACCCTATAAAGCATTTATGCGAAAGAAGGGCAGAAGAGTGGTACAGTGAAACTTCTTTATATACGCCTACGGAACTTTTGGCCGGTATAAGGGAAAACCGACCACCATAATCAGGTGACCAATCAGTACATACCAGTTACTATTATATATTCAACCTGCTGTTGATTTTTATTCGATCTTTCACAAAATCGTCTAAGACTTTTTGCCTAAAACTTTTCACTTTTTTTTTTTAATATATACTACGTCGTAAACGCTGTAAACTAAGTATACTTCCCGTGTAATACACGAATTATCTGGCTGTTGTTCGATAAACTCAGTTGTGTTAAGTTAATGCCGTCTCAAACGAAATCTTTTTTTGAGTCTCACTGACTCCCTCACCAAGTTCATTCGCATCTTGCTCATTGGTTGCACAATTGACCGGTATAAAGAATAAAATTTAATTTGTTATGTTTTATAATAGTGTAACAGACAGACCGGAGCCGTTATAGAAGTGATGGCCGGTATACAAGAGGAAAAATCATAATTAAAGAACCGTCCCTGGAATTTAGGCCATTATAGCAAAAAACTGGTATATACAGTGGCGCTCAGCAATTGTCAGTAATCGCTAGTAATCAAAAACCTCTTCTCTATAGAAGCTAACACTAGAACTGCTCGTACTTACCCGAAACTGTACAAGCTATGCACATCGGCTAAACGACAAAATGAAGACACATGTCGGATACTCCGCCTGAAGCACTTCGGAAACTTGAGATCAAGCAATATGTATATTGTCTCTTTTGGGTTTTCTGTGCTGTGTAAGTATGTAATACTGATTTAAACCTAAAAATGGCATTTAGTTGAACTGGAACCAAAATCAAAGATTACATATCACATGCTTCATACTGGAAACGCTCGGGATTTTTGGGTAGGATTTAAACATAAAGAAAACCACACTCCATTTTTAACACCTGAGCCATTTCTAAAATTTCAGCATAACATTGTTCGTTCAAACAAAATTTTTCTTTATGCAAAGATTCTTAATCAAAGATCCTTATACTATACACTACCCTACCATAAATCACCGGATTTTTTGTCACGTGGATCAAATGATAATTTTACACAAGGGGGTTT